GTGTCGTGCAAAACTTATTACACAAATTTGTGTGCTCTTGTTAATCTTTCCTTTTTTATAGGGGTCTCAGCCAAGAACCTACCACGGTAGAGGAAAAAGATACTGTTTCTCTCCTGCAATGGTTTATCACCAGTGATCACAGTAAGGAGATGTGCAAAGTCCACAAACATGCAAAGCTAAAGATTGCAGCTTCCTTTTTTTCCCTGCCTTCTTTTCCTGCTGCCTGTAATTGAAGACGACCTTGGGAACTGCCTGCAGCAGCCGCAGCTTGGGGTAGAAGAAAGTGGATGGCTTAGAGTCAGGGGCTGCTTCTAGATTCCTGCTGGGCTTTGCTGCTCAGTAGTTCTGTAAAAACAGAGCAGGTGACAGCCTTCACTGGGCCTCACATCTTGTAGGTGTAGGTGGGATCAAGCGGCACTCGCTCTGCCTCTCTGGTCGCTGTCCCATCCGGACAGGACAGTGCTTGGTAAACCAGAAGCGCTTGCAGGAGTGGGAGCTCCCTGACCCAGCCTTTCTTTTCCTAGGTGAGGACATTAGGCCCATGGAGGCGACCAGCTGGGTGTTGTCACCTGTAGTCACCCGCAGTCACCTGCTCACCCAGGGCGGATTGGACACTCTCTTGGCATCCAGTACCACGATAGCTCCTGAGAGAGGGGCACGGGGTTGGTGTTAGGTGACAGGGACAAGTTCTGACTGAGGCCTCAGAGTGCTGAGATCTGGATTCCAAATTAGCATTTCTAGGAGTTTATCAAAACCCTTGGGCAAATCACCTTGCTTCGCTGGGCCTCAGTTTTCCTTCACTGTAAATTAACAAGTTTGAACAAGATGGACCTTAGGAATCCTTCAAACTCTAACCCTCTATTGTTATAATATTATTGAATCTCACTGGGGCAATGGCTTCTGTTTCATTAACTGTAGATTTGAAACCCTCATTTGCTCTAGGGATGCTTTAGTTGCATTAAGCCTATTACAACTTGTCATGTCTACCTTTAATGATGGTATCTGTACAATAAGGAAGATAATACATGAAAGTTCTTTTTGAAAAAGTAAAAAAAAAAAAAAGAAAAAAATCAATAGGCCATTCGTATAAATGAGCTCTAAATAAGCCATAAGTAGATTATTTGGAGTGAGGAGAATAATCTATTTTTCCAGGACAGTATAATCCTTTTTAGGGGAATGTTTAGTGTCATTATCAGATGATAAGTTCTTCATAGTTGTTTTGCAAATAAATTAAATGATAGGGGTTCAGTGAGGGTGTAGTGGGGGATAAGTTCCCCTAGTTGATGAGTCGTAATCCTCAGATCAGCAGCTTAGTGGACACCCGTATTTGCAGGGGAGTTTGTTCAGAAATCTTGGATCACACGATACAAGGTGAAACTACATCTGAGTCAACCACCTAGACTGGGCTGAACTTTATAAAAAAAAATAGCTGCCATCCCAGAATATTTAGCATGTAAAGGTAAGTGCTAGAATGCCTTTTGCATTACTCAAAGCTCATAATTTTGCCTAAGAAAAAAGTTTCCATAACCCTGTATATGGTTCACTTGTGTTCAACACACACTCAGTAAGACCGATAGATCACATCGTCTACACCGCATGTTTCCATACCCCACCGTCTTTCTTACTACTCCAACTCCATGCACACTTAGGATCCTGTTCTGGAAGCTCAGTGATACTGTCCCTAGAGCAGTTCAAACAGGAGAACACATTTTCTGGGGTCTAAATCAACTACTTTTAATTCAAGATTTGAAAGTGCAAATAATTTTGAGGGAGATTTTGAACTGAGAGGGATAGCAAAGAGGGTGTCTGTTATCACCTGCCTCCTCTCTGCAGGCCACTGGGCCCAGGGGCTTAGGTGGGGCTGGTTTGGGTGTGCCTTGGCAGGCACACTAGCCCTGCTTTCCAGAAGTTTCTGGTTAATATGGAAACAGTGTCCTGAGGTGCACAGAATCTCTGGGACCACAGGTGTGTCAGAGGACATTCAGAATAGAAGAAAGGCTGGCACCAATGGAAAAAGAAATCAGAACCTTAAAGCACCACCAAAGTCTAGGGACCAGAAAAGAGAATTTCCAGTTCTGTTTGACATTCTTAGGGTTTCAAAACCTTGCAAAAGCAAAACAGAAAAATGGCAAAACAAAAGAAACAGCATTTTCCTTAAAAGGGAAAAAGTAAAAAACATTGGCCACTCATCCTCATATCTAGAAAATAGAGAAAATTAAGAAAACCAAAGGACTTTTTACTTTTCATTTATATGCACAAGTAAAAAGTAGGTGCTCATTTTTACCTTGTTGTTTTTAGTGGAAGAAAATGGTTTTCAAATTGTATTCACAGATTGACTTTGCTGAATTGAGGTAGCTTCCTTTGATTCAATCAGAACAGAATTCTTTTTGACTATAACCCTATTTGTAAACAATGTATTTTCCGCTATTGAATGGAAATTTTGACCTGTAATCAAGTGGTTTTGGAGCAGTCCATGAGTTTTGATGTTTGTATTGATGAGGTACAAGACATGGCATTTGAGAAAACAGCAGAAGTGGGAAACTCTCTCCTACCTCTCCCTCACTCTTCTCCCTTGAAGTAAGTCATAAACCCTGCTGTTGAAACCGCCTATATTAAAGTGATCCAAGGTCGTAGGCAAGAATGGTGGCAAAAGTCTGATTTCTACAAAAGTATAGACAGAGCTAAAAGTTAACCAGAAATTGTTTCATAGCTTGCGAAATTTCCCATAATTGCTTACTGCTTAAGAGTCATGTATCCTTGACTGGTGTTAGATTTGGGAGTCCCACAATCACTTTTGTAGATAACATCATTATTGTAAAACCTAAGACGGGTCTTTGAGATGTCCTCCAGACTCTGCGTTTGGGGGTACCAGTAGCCATATATGGGTGGGAACTGACTCAAGAGGTCCTGCACCCCTCTACACAGGAACTGTCTCAGCACGAGAAGACAATTTCTGCTTTTCAACGCTATGAGTTCATCCCTAACCAATTGGCAGACCCAATTTCCCAGACAAAGGTCTGAGATATGCCTACCCTATACCACTATAGCTCCCCTTATCTCTGAACACAGGGACACAGAGAAGAACCTGAGCAAATAGGCCTTGCTAAGGTCTCCCCACAGTTTATCACAATCGATCATTCCCCCTTTCTCCAATCATCCTTTTCCACGACTATCTACTTCTTCATCAAACGTACCATAAAAGTACACAGGCTTCTCTGTGTCTTGAGTTTTCGTTTCCTTAGGAAGGCTCCCATGCTATGTAAAAATTGTATTAAACGAAGTTGGATGCTTTCTTCGAACTTCTTAACCTGTTCTTTGTTATAGAGGCCTTCGCCATGATCTTAGCCAAGGGAAAGAAAGATATTTCTTTTCCTGCTATTTTTTTTTTTTTTTTGGTATTCAGGTACAGAGACTTCGAAACCTGAGTGAAAAAGCCTCCCCTTAAGCTGTAAGTGACGTACAAAAAATCAGGCTGTTTGCTCTTGATGCGGAGACAATCAGAGCAACTCCAAGAGTACTTTCTCTGGCTAATCTGACATGACTAATTCAGCTAAAGTGGATTTTAAAAAATGACTTTAAAATAGATTGGATCCAGTTGCCTCCAACTAAACCATCCTCATTTCCCATTCCTCTCCTTGGGCAGCAGAGTATTCTCCGAAGCTCCTGGAATTCCAGCCTAAGATTTCCATAACACCTCGGTGAACCGGAGGAGCTCTCTGGGTAATTAACATGCAAATGTGCATTTCAGTGCACGATCGTAGACAAGCTTTCACCTCTCCTGCTGGGGAATTGATTTTGTTAGGGGGCCTGGAGAAGGTGTGTGTTTCATTTAGACATGCTTGTGTGACTATGAACACAAAGAGTAAATTCCATCTAGGCAGTAATTGATAAGGAACCACACGTGAAATGAGATATATCACTAGAGCAAGTGAAAAAAAAAAAATCCATGCCCTGGATTAGTCTGTATATACTGGTTGGAAAATAAGGGTATCTCAAGGAATATTAATTTTGAACAATTTTGTTTTCCATGTATTTAGTATGTTGCAAAGGAATTTTTAAAACAGCTTTAGTGCCTACCCACAAAATAACTGTATTAGAGGAGTTTATTATGTTATACAAACTCAGCTTCACTTATTATTTCTAAATATGAGTCCTTTAAGAATAAGGAAATAGGGTCTTTGTTCCTTCTTTTTTTCTCCTTTACTGGAGACAGTAAATGTTTACTCTGGTGACATTTGGAAATGACTTTAGTTTGCCATTCTTTTGTACGAACAGATCTGCTTGGAGTGCCTAAAATGTGTATTTTTAAGGCCAGATTTCCCTGGATTTCAGAAGATTTTTTAAATTTTTTGTTTGTTTGTTTGCTTTTTCAGTGGTAAAATAACTTTTGCTGTCTGAGTCAATATTTTGTGGCTGGCATGACACATCTTGTAGTGTCTGAATGAGACTGAGCAGGGAGGATTTTGCATTTCAGGCATCAGGGAAGCTAGAAGCTTTTGGGGCCATCTTTTGGCAAGAAAGCTTAAAATTTGGGTTTTCTGCTTTTGGGGGAAGGGAGAGCTGAATTGGTGTGGGAGATGGGTGGATGGGGAGGGAAGGTCTAAGGATGAAAATGCACCTCTTCTTTGCATCCAGAACTATGGGTACATCATTTTTTTTTTAAAGCTTATAAAAAGGGGACAAAATGTTAACAGTGGTTAGTTACCACTGCTCACGGGATGGTGGGTAATTGTTAATTGCATTCTTATACATTTGTCTACGTTTTTAAAATTCTCTACAATGAGGCTGTATTACTTTTAGGATCCTGGAGCACCAACTATTTTTAAAGCTCCCCATTATAGGGGAGGTCAGGCGGTATTAGGGGGCTAGTTGGCTGTCAGCAGAAGGGAGCCCCACTTGGGTTGGAACCCACCCCCAGCTCCCCAACCCTGGCACCTGGGGCCACCTGCCCTCTGCGGGCTGCAGGGGTCTGGGAAGGACAGTCCCTGCACCCACCGTCGCCTTGCAGGGCGGCGGCGCATTCCTTGGAGCTGCCCTGGACTGCAGTACCAGCTCCAGCACGTTGATTTATGGAGCTATTTGGTGTCAGGTAATTGCCCATCAGTATCCTATTTATCACCCAGCTTGTCACGGCTTGTGGCTGCTACGCCGCAAAGCCAAGGCCTTGGAGAAAGGACCAGTGACTCAAAGCACAGGAGGAGGACGGTCCAAAAATGCACCGTGTCCAAGTTCTCTTCCCTTTGCTCAGCTTTCCTTCGATCAAGGGGAGAAAGTGGGTCGGATCCCAGACAGTAGCTGCTGATGGGGGTGCGACTTCCAGACCCAGGAAGACCCCGCCTGTCCCCAGCCCTTCTCCTGAAATATCCTTCCCAAGTAAATGCCTGCTCAGGATAGGAACAAAATCTGCATATTCAGTAGGCCGTTACTTTAAAAAAAAATGTTCCCATGAATAGACTGGAGAGAAATAAGTCAAAACACAAATACCCTCTGGTTGATGGAAAAATTCTTCCTTCTTTGCTGTATTTTCCATATTGTCTGTAATGAGCATGTATCTCTTAAAAACACAGCAAGATGTTTTATACATGTTTAGCAATACTTGAAATTCCACAATTAAAGAGGCAGTCGTTTGGCTTCCTGTTTTTTATGCTTTCAACATGCCATTCCTCTTAGAAGGTGTAGTCATGCGGGGGAGGAGCTCATCCTTCTAGAATTAAAGCTTGAGGGCTGGTGGCCCCCCGGGGGCAGCTCAGCTGTGCCCAGGGAGGTGTTGGCGGCAGGTGGCTGGAAGGTGAGTTGGGAACCGGCTGTGCCTCCAATGGCCTTTGCCAGGAATTGAACCCGGTGACTCAGCACATTCCGGATCTCAAGTACAGACTTGAAGGGCAGCCTTCCTCCCCCAAAGGCTCCGGGTTTAACAACACTTGAATTCCTGGAAACCTCAGCTTTTGCCTGGGCTTAGAGATCCGGGAACACAGGGTCTTCCGGGCTCTCCTGGCCCCTGAGTTTCTAGAGCTCAGGTCCTGAGCTCAAAAGAAGGAAGCAGGAATCTCTGGGTGTTTGGAACAGAAAGCCCCAGCTCCTAATACTGTGCGATTAAGCGTGATTTTTCTTTTTTTTTTTTTCTTTCGGCATATTATGGGGGTAACAGATTTTAAGGTTTCAATAAATGCCCATTTCCCCCCCTACCCCCACAAGTCTGAGTCTCCATCATGACCATCCCCCAGATGGTACACATCTCACTCATTATGTATGTATATACCTACCCCCCCCCCCGATTTTTCTTTTAAGAAAAAAAAAAAGAAGCAGCCCTTTATCATACTCCTAGGGCTATCAGAAACCATTTGGCCAGATTTTCCTATTGTTTGGTTGTTTTTTTTTGAATTTTTAAATATTAAGGGGGTGCAAATGTTTTGTTACATAGACACCTTGTGTGATGCCTAAGTCGGAGCTTTTGGGGTGCCCGTCACCAGAATAGTGTTCATTGTACCCAATAGGTAAGTTTTTTTCCTTCATGCCCCTTCTTGGTTTCCAAAGTCCTTTACTTCTGTTTGTGCCCATCATCTAGCTCCCAGTTATTAGTGAGAACGTGTCTCCAGTTGAGTCCTAGTTGCTTTACGTTATTTCATTACTTTTCACAGCTGGATTCTCTTATTTTTAGATGCAAGAGTTGGGGGTGTAGGAATAGAAAATTATTTCCCTCCTACCCATTTTAGGTGCTCATTAGACTGTCCGAAGGCAGATTAACAAGAGCAGACATGCTAATTTATTTCATGTAAGTTTTACAGGACATGGGAGCCGTGGTAAGGAAAGGAAGTCCCTAAGGTTGAACTTGAGTGTTTTTCTACTGGGTTTGGTGGGGAGTGGAAAGTGGAGGGAAAATGTGAAAAGACAAAGGCGTGGGAACGTAGGGAGTCCCCGGGGGGGAACTGGCAAGGCCTGTGCACTCCGATTGCTCTCAGCGTCCCTCTGTGTCCCTCTGTCTTGGGAGAGAAGCAGTCTGTCTGGCTTTGGACGTAGGGAAGGCACCTCACCGGCGAAGGTCTTATGATCTGCTTCGAGGGACAGCGAGAGGGACCTTCCTGCCTCTGCTGTTTTCTCAAATTCCTTCAGTTTCAAATGTTCAGTATGCCAAAGCGCCATTTTTTGGGGTAGCATGTTGTGTACCCCATCAAAGGGCATACCTGTCCTCACCCCGGCTCACCCTTCCAAAGCGCAGGGAGAATAAGAGAGAGACACAGAGGACAGAGAGAGAGAGAGATGAATTGAAGGAGGCTGTGAATTGTTTCTATTGCATATTTTTCCTTTTTTTAATTTTTAACTCCATGGGTTACCAGATTTTATTTTTTTTTTTACTTTTTAAAATTAATTTTACTTTTTATTGATACATAATATAATGGATGTACATATTTTGGGGTACATGTGATAATTTCATACAATCACATAATTTGTAACGATCAAATCAGTGTAATTGGGATATCCACCACCTTAAATATTTGTCTTTTCTTCATGGTAGAAACATTCAAAGTATTCTCTTCTAGATGTTTTGAAATATACAATGGATTATTGTACACGGTAGTCACCCTACTGATCTAGCAAACATAAGGTCTAATTTCTTCTATCAAACTGCGTGTTTGTACTCCTTTATTTTTATGTCTGCAAATCGGGGTCCCAGGGCACGGCCTGGATGGGCTGAGGAGAGGTGACATTCATGGCAGGGACAGCTTCCTCTGTGCCAGGCACCACTGGCACCCCTTTACATTCATTCATTCATTCATTCATTCATTCATTCATTCATTCAATTCTCACAACAACCCTGTGAGAAGGGAGCTGTTGCCATTGCCATTTTCCAGGGAAAGAAACTGAGGGCCAGGGAGTGACCTGCCTAAGGCCACTCATACAGTCAGTAGCAGAGCTGGCATGTGACCTGGGCCGTCCTGGGCTGGCACGTCAGCTCAAAACCCTTGCACTGCACATCCCATCTCCCACCAAGGTGCAGGTGAAAGGTCATTTCAAATTTTGCTCATGTCTATGCATAGAAGTTTTAAAAAGTAATTATAATAAAATACCTCTCCAGGCATTATGCTAATTATAATGTACTAACAATTTACATCCGTAATCAGGAGACTGGGGAGTGAGTGATTCTGTAGCTTGAAAGGAAGAGGGTACAGATGTTATTCCCTGTGAAGACTACAGTCAAGTCTCAAGAATAAAAAAAACAGGCCTGGTGCAGCGGCTCATGCCTGTAATCCCAGCACTTTGGGAGGCCAAGGTGGAAGGATCACTGGAGTCCAGTTCTAGGTTGCAGTGAGCTACGATGACTCCATTGCACTCTAGCCTGGGGGACAGAGTGAGACCATGTCTCAGAAAAAAAAAAAAAAATAAATAAATAGTATACAAGCAGGCACCAGTGCCCAAAGGGAACTTGTTATCTAAATATTTTCAGGGCCCAAGGATTTTAGTGACTATTCCAATAGTATAAGTACATACAGACGAGGAGATCATCAGATAGCCAACTCATATCTGTCCCCTTTCTGGCAAACAACGAAACTGGAATGACAAAACTTTGAAGCTAATGGCGTCTTGCAGCCAAATCATTCAGTACAACATGGGTCTCAAATTTTCTAGATAATTTATCTCATATATTTTATTGTCTTTTTATAGAAATCAATACACTCATTGCAAAAAAGTTTTATTTCAATAGTTTTTTAAAACCGTTGGAAAACAATTCCATAGCCAAGGTTAACTGTAGATATTAAGACCTTAATTCAAGCACGGATTTGCAAGTACCCCTGGCCGGAGGGAGTATTTTGGAGCTGAAGTGATCTAGAATATGCTATTGTGGCATAGACACTATTTTGAGCAAATGGCATTTGAGTTCCTGAAATCTCTTATCTTTCAAAAAGCAGAACCTCCCAAGAGAACTCAAAAGAACTCAACTGTCAAAAATTCCCTCCCCAGGAGCAACCACTGACTCATTCCCAGAGGCTAGAAGTCATCACCATACCAGTCATTGTCAGGAAACTATCATATCTCCCATCTACTCTCTTAAGGCCCATATATCTTTCCAAAAAGTCATTTGTTTTCCCTAAGTGTCCTTCTAACCCTCCATGTCCCTCATTAAGACGGTATATAAGCTTCAATTTCTAACCACTTCTTTGAGGGACATTTTTTCTGTGAACTCTCATAAATAAATGATTAAATCTGTCTTTTCTCTTGCTAGTCTGATTTTTTTTTGTCAGTTTAATTTGCAGGCCCCCAATCACAGAATCGAAGAGGATAGAGGAAGAATTTCAGACAGAGAGTACTTGCCAAGAACCACTCCAGCCTTTTCTATGGAAGTTACTAGTTCATACCTGAGCTCTGAGTGTGGGCTTTTGTGTCCCTTCTGCGTGGTGCCTTTGACAGAGATGCCAGCTGCATGTGAAAAATGGCAGGACAGGCCCCTGCAGGAGCTACTCCCATGCTTTCTCTCCCAGGTCTCTCACTCTGAGGGCTCTGAAGCTTGAGCGGTGAGAGGTTCAGGGCAAGATTCGGCTTCTCTCCTGGAGGGATTTACATTATGGCTCTGGGCTGGGGCTCCCAGCCAAAATTCCTGGGATTGGGGGCCTATGAAGAAAGTGGAAATTTTGCATTTTATGACCTTGCCAATAACTTGATGGCGAGACTAAAACTGAGACTAGGAGAAATCAGATGGCCCATATCAAGCGATTGACCAAAGCCTTCCTCCTTTCTTGATTTCCTTTCTGTGAGATGCCTATGAGCAAGTGTATTCTCTGACTAACGGTGTACAGCGTCAGACACAGCTAACCCGAGTCTTGGGGCACCCGTTTTGTAAAGAACACGTGTGAGAAGAGAGCACTTTAGTTCTGTAAATATCTTTCACTCACCAGTAATGTTTACAGAGCTCGTAGTCATGGCTCCTGGGCAGGGGAGGGTTTTACTGTGGCTAAGAGTGTCATGTTCCATCTTCCTGCTTCTGAGTGAGACTCTGATATTTCTGGCAATCTTTAGCTCCCTTTTTAGTCCTTATTTTATTATTGTCTTATTTAGCTAAGGCAAATAATAATTGCACAAGGAAAATCTCCTCATCTCATTCAACAGTTAATTTTTTCCTCTCATCCTAATCCTCAGAGGAGTAAATAATTGCATACGGGGGATTCAAGCGAAGCCCTCTACTCTGTGACATTCTAAGGAACCAGCATATTTATCTCTCTGTCTCTCCCTTATTTGTATAAATAAAACGAGACTTTTAAAAAAGCCACTTTCTGGAAAGCTAAATAAATAAAATCACAGAGCTAGAAAATTGTGTATGCAGATAATGACTACCAATGAGTTGGCAGATAAATGACTTGATAATACAGTTATAAATGGGTTCATCTGGGTTTTGCAAAGTTTTTTTTTTTTTTTTTTAAAGTAAAGACTGTGGAATCAAAAGGAAAGATAGACACTAATTCAGATTTTGCAAAGAAAGGAACCTATAAATAAACTAATTGGACTATCACTTGATTTGTGTGTCAGATATGTGAGTACTTACAGAGACCGCTGTTTGTTTCAGCTGTTCTCATCAGCATGATTAACGGCTGCTTAAAAGTGCCCGGCTCCATTTGTATGCCAGCTGTTCTCGTGCAAAACAAACTGGGACTTTCTCAAGATAATCAGAGCCTGACTGTCTGCAGGACTCGGGGCTGATACCTATGACCTGGGAAAGGAAATTAATGACTCTCAGCTCATCTTCTTTGAGGTCAGACCCAGACGTTCATGGCTGAAATATACCTAAAGCAGATTGCTACTTATTGGGGACATGTAAACACACAAGGGCCTGCTCCTTTCCACGTGCTGGTTGGTGGAAAGAACTTAGCCAACACGGAGTTTTATGCATCGTTAGCAGGTTAACAAGAATCAGAGTAGTCTTAACTGCACAAACAAATTGTACTTTAGAAGGTAAGTATGCAAGGGGAGTCGTTCAATATCACAGACTGTCTCTGGCCACCAAGCGGCAACACTACATCATAAAACCCTGGGAAGTAACGTTAGGTCCTTCCTAAGGAAGGAGTCACTCGCAGGTAGGCAAGGTGTTGGTGACCGGGAGAGAACACATGCATGATGGGGGGAGTGATTTCAGACATAGCTTCCAAAGAGCGAGGATTTCTGCATTGTCACATGCTGTTGTACAAGTGGCTTGTGTAATCATCGTATTTGCTACGCTGAAAGGCAGAAGGAAATCAGTACCCGAATCAGAGAGGGGAGTGATTTTTCTTGACCACCCAACTACTTTCAAAGGTATCTGTATGACAATGAAAACTAATTAAAATCCCATTTTAGTCTTTAAGATCTGCTAGTTTATGGCACGAAGACAGTCAACAAATATTATTTAAGTTATTCCTGTGCTAGTAACTCTGACAGTAAGTCATAAGCCTGACCTGAGACCGCTGTCCATGTCACAAGAGGAGATCACATAGCATAGCTAGTAGTTGTCAAACACTTACTATTGTTAAAGAAAAGTAAAAATAGATTCCCTGGTTTATATACACCCAAAGGCCAACTTCTCATAGCTATGTGACCGAAACTTAAGTCATCCTGATTTCCCCCAAACTCTCACCCTAAACATACACAAAGCACAAATGTAAGCTTTTCTTCTTTGTCAGCATGATTCAATGAAATTAAACCAATCAGCTATCAACGAATCAGCTCACCCAGCTTTGCCTTGTAAAAGAATACATATATGACAGCCAATCAGCAAGGAGATCAAAACACTTCCTCCTTTATGCTCTATAAACTGTGCTGTTACTGCTGTAAAACTGAAACATTGTTTGAGGTCTACCAGTTTTGTGAACTGTTCTTTTGTGTGCACCATAAATCTTAAATTCGACCTTGATCTGATTGTATTTTTGACACTATGCTCAGCACTGCACATGCGCGTCCTTATCTGTTCCTGAGAGCAGCCTTATGAAGTGGCTACTGTTGTTATGTCTCCCTTTCAGAGATGAGAAAACCAAGACATTTGTTAATGGTCCCACAGCTAAGGGTGGCAGAGGTAGGACTCAAACCCTAGTTTCTCTAACGCCCAGGACCATGCAGCATACATGTGCTTTAAGAAAATAGCAGTTCCAGGCAGCGAGCATATGGGAAATGCCAAAATGAGTGCCAAAGACACGATTATGGAAGGCCATCAGTATAACAAATGACACCAGGGGAAGCTTAGGGAAGAAGGCGAGGCTGGATCTGAATTTGGACTTGAACTTGCAGACAAAAGGTTAGTAGGATATGGAGGATAACCATCACACTTTCTCACAAATACTGCTTTGGTGATGCCAGAGACAGAAAATTGGCCTCTTGAGTCATTGAGCTGATCTATTGTGACTTTTAAAAATAATTATAAATATATATACACATATAAAACTTTTATTTTTGTTTATGTATATTATAGGGATACTGGCTAGGGTAAGTTCACATAACCATGTATGAATCATCTCTATTTTATAGATGAGAAATTCCAGAAAGCATTGCTCACTGTAAGAGCTGAAGAAGCTGTTGGACACACAGGTTGGGAGCGTAGCCTCTGGAGCCAAACTAAGTTTGAATTGAAAGCTTTGCCACTTACTGGCTGAGTGATCTTGGATAAATTACTTAACCTCTCTGTGCCTCAGTTTTCTCACCTGTTAACTGTGGATGGTACTACCTACACATTATAGGGTTACTGAAAGAGTTAAAACTGCATAGAACAGACTCTGGCACATAGTAAACAATACGTAAATATTATTATTTTCTCCCACTTTCCAGAAGAGTAAACTAAGGGACAGAGAGGTTAAGTAATTTTCTCAAGGTCACACAGCTAGAAAAAGGGAAAGATAGGACTTAATCTCAGCTCTGATTCCAAAACCTGGGCCTTTTGCCCCCACTACCATAATATATTGCTTCTCCATTAAGAAAGGCTTATTGAATTTATAAGTAAAATCACCACAATGAAATTTCTTTCCCTTTTCTAGCAATGCTCTTTATTTTTTAAATTGTGATTTGTGGCTTATTTATTGGCAGGTCCTACGGGTCTCTTGTACTGTGTGAGTTCCACGAGAACTTTATTTGAATTCACTATATTAACATATTCACATCTGACACTTTGAGGATTGTCCTTTGAAGTCCACTTTTATTATTAAACTAATTATATTCATGGCTTTAAAATTATAAGCCTAAGCAAAACTTTTATTAGTGATCTATATAATATTGATAATGCTCGGGTCATTTTAAAGAATAGTACTTTTAAATACTAAATAAGTGGCTTGATACTATCGTACTACTCTATACCTAGAACAGGGATACTTTCTATATAGCCTTCAGTCAGTTTGTCCTACTTCTAGTATTCAGCTGAGTTTAAAAACAGACAGTGTGTGTAACACAGCCTTTCTTGGGATGGTTCCAAAGGAAAATGCCCCTTTTATCCCTAGATTCCTGTCTTTGGCAGAGGAATACTACAGTGTGGCATCTTGTTGAAAAACAAGTTATTATTTATAAGAATTCTGTCTCAATAAAAAGAAAAAATTAGTATCCATTTGGTTTTACATATCACCTTGAGCTTCTAGAAAAGTATTTTTGATGGATGACAATGCTATTTCTTTGGCAAGGAAATAATACATTTGAAGTCTGATGTGTACTTATTAGCAGCACAGTGGGAACGTGAGTCTTCATTTATGACGCTTGCTCAAAGACTGAAAGCTTGGAAAGGATTCTATTTAACTGTCCATTCTTCATTTAATTAATAGTAATTTATTTTTGCGACAGAGTCTTGCTCTGTTGCCCAGGCTAGAGTGCCGTGGCATCAGCCTAGCTCACAGCAACCTCAAACTCCTGGGCTCAAGCAATCCTTCTGCCTCAGCCTCCTGAGTAGCTGGGACTACAGGCATGTGCCACCATGCCCGGTTAATTTTTTCTATATGCTTTTAGTTGGCCAATTAATTTCTTTCTATTTTTAGTAGAGACGGGGTCTCGTGCTTGTTCAGGCTGGTTTCGAACTCCTGACCTTGAGTGATCCACCCGCCTTGGCCTCCCAGAGTGCTAGGATTACAGGCGTGAGCCACCATGCCTGGCCAATTAATAGTTATTTTTAAAAATTAGTTATTAATTTTAATGAAATGTTTTGATCTCCAGGAGTGAAACTCTGGCTTTTGATTATGACAGAATAACTGCAAGCTACTCTACATAAATGGTTTTGAAACCTCATAACCACACAGTTGCCAGGATTTCCAGAGTTTTAAGAAATAGTCAAGAGTCTACCTCAAATCTCTGTGGTTCCAGAAATTACCCCCATATTGTCTGGGTCTAGTAATGACC